TGCCAAGAAAAAACTTGATTTGTGAATAATATAATATTCAACAACGTTCCGAAAATATTCGTTGTGGCCGAAGGCAATTTAAAAATAAAAAATAGTGATTCAAAAAACAATTATTTATTAAGATAGAGGGTGTCCCACGAAACATGACAGTTGGAAGACGAATTTAATGTCGTCTTCTAACTCTGAGTTTATTTGAGACATTCAGTCTTTAACCTACTTTCACACAGCGGAGGGCCATAAGAGAATTTATTTACTGTACACAAATTTATTCTGGAACACACTATGATGAACTAGGTATCGGTGGTTCGGTGGTTAAAAACTGGTTTAGCAGTACCTATTTGCATTCAATTTAATGAGGATTTTAATAATTTACAGTTTTGACATGAGAGGTCATAGAGGGGAGTTGGAGGAGGGGAGGGGGAATGAAATTCTTCACAACTCTATTAATATTGATTAAGCGCAAAAAAGGCAGACCACATTTTGGAAATGCCAAGTATATGGGTATTTTGTTATTATTAACTCTAGAATTTTACTTTTAAATTAAGTTTACGAAAAAATGCCGCCAATTATTTCAAAGATCAAAGACGACATTAAATTCGTCTTGATGCTGTAATGTTTCATGGGATGTATTTTACCTATACTTAGTGTTCAAAGAAGTAAACATTAAGAAAATTACAAATAGTTTTACGGGTTACACTAAAAAGGTCTTTCATGCGAAATTTAAATTATTCATCTACATTGGGCTTGGTAGTATTTTTGGTTTGTATTCTTTGTAAAAGTCTAAAACGGCAAGAGCAACCGTGTCCAAAGTTGTATGGCCGGGCCGATCAAAATTCAAATGTTTTGCTTTCAACAAATTTCGATTTTTAAAAATTATGTAAATCCACCAAAGCAAACAGAAAAATATACGAAAATATTCATCGTATGATAATGACGATACAGTTTGTGTAATATAAACTTACCCAGATTTACGATTTTATACTCGGCACATATATTCCAGCGAACTATATTAAAACTTTAAAAGATTATATCAAAATATATTAAAATTAAGAAATATTTCGAAAATAATCCGACCTTGATAGCAATCCTGACCTCCCAAGAGCAAGACGACCTCCAGTAGGAATAATGCACTGGCTTTGTCCCATATTTCTTGTATCGGTAGAGCTCATATCCTGAAATCTATTTGAGGATTTTAATTGAATTTAAATGAAAATTTTATCTAGAGAATTGAGTCTTCGTCACAAACTCTAATTTTCTGATTCCTATATCTTCGCAACCTGATCGTGAAATTCCTTTGTTATTTCAAACTTAAACTATTCGATCTAACCAGAATTCAAAGTTGGAAATATTTAAGGTCTATTTTATCGAGTTGCAAAGATATAGGGATTAGAAAATCAGAGTTTGTCGAAAAAATTCAGTTCCTTTGAAGAAATGCAAAATCTTAAAATCCTTAAAACGTTGATAAATGATAGTTTTATCTACACTTTATACTATATAATTAGTCTCATATGATAACTATAAATAATTATACCAAAAACTAAGCTTCATTGTATTAAAGCACTATGATAAATGTCGTCTTCAAAATAGAAATTGTAAAACCCTAATTCCCAACTAAAGTTGAAATTAAATACTTTACGTAAAAAGAACAATATGACCTAAAAATCAACTTAGAACACTTTATTTCTTCAACTTAATACCTGGTGGATAAAAAACTTATTTAAAAGTAATTGTAGAAGCATTAAAACCCCAAATAATCAACCCTTTCGGAAATTTTAAATAAAATCATAAGAATTATCCAAATTAAACAATAGACTACAGAAAACATTGTACATTGTAAATCTGAATACTAAAAACATTTGTACACTGTAAACTTGAATGCTAAAAACGATGTACACTGTAAACTTGAATACTAAATCATTTTACAGGGTGTCCCAATAAACATGGGAATTCAGTGACGAATTCGATATCGTCTTTTGAAAATAATTCTTTGATTTTGTATAGTGATACCTACTAAGAAAGCTGTAAGCTGTGAGAGTTTCTTCTGCTATGTTCACATTTTGTTTGTTTATGTTTTGACTGCATACGGTTGTACTTAGTAAAACAAGAGAATTGCAGTATTCAAACAGAGTAAACTTGTCTGTCTTCACTATTCATCTTGCGGAGACATTATAAACACATCTTTACAGTCTTTTTACCGTTTTCATAAAATAAATTCTAGCAGACATAATAATATTATGGCTTTTGAAATTAGGTATTACAATGCTAATTCATAACAAAGACGATATACAATTCGTCACTGAATTCCCTTGTTTTTTGGACACCCTGTACACTGTAAACTTGAATACTAAAAACATTGTACACTGTAAACTTGAATACTAAAACATTGTTCACTGTAAACCTGAATTAATGAAAAACATTGTAAACTGTAAACTAATACTAAAACATTGTTAACTGTAAACCTGAACAAATGAAAAACATTGTACACTATAAAATTAAATACTAAAAATATTGTTTGCTTTAAACTTGAATACTAAAATTAATGTAGACTGTAAATTTAAATGCAAAAATCATTGTACACCGTAAACTTTATTACTGAAAACATTGTTCACTGTAAACTTGAATAAAAAAACCTGTAAACTTGAATACTAAAAACATTTTAGACTGTAAACCTGACTAATAAAAACATTGTACACTGTTAACTTTAATACTAAAACATGTTCACTGTAAACCTAAATTAATGAAAATCATTGTACACTTTAAACTTGAATACTAAAATCATTGTACACTGTAAACTTGAATACTAAAATCATTGTACACTGTAAACTTGAATACTAAAAACATTGTACACTGTAAACTTGAATACTAAAAACAATGTTCTCTGTAAACCTGAAAAAATGAATAACATTTACAGTGTAATAAGCAGGGGAAGGCAGGCAGCCATAAGCCACAATTTCCCTTTCATGCCACATATAAGCCTTTTCGTCTTCCAGCAATTATAAGCCAAGACCGTTCAGTCTTCTAGATGCCACAACATTTTTGTCTTCCAGCAATTATTAGAAATTGTAATTTTCAAAAATCCAGCCGCATTACGCAAAAGATGATATCTTTAAGAAGTTTGTTGAAGAGCAATGAATTTTGTGTTCAGTTGATAAACTGCTTTCCATTTTATGAAGAAAATTTTTCATAATTTTACGCATTAAGGGTATCTAGACAAATTGTTGCTACAATTTTCAGTCGATCCGACTACCTTTTTGAGACGTGAAAGCAATGTAAGGTGAAAGTGAAACCTATATTGAAATAGTCTTTATGAAATGTATTGAAAAATATAGATGACATTTCCTAAAAAATTTAAATTTCAAAAAGTTTTTAAAAAAGTAAAATCTATCCATCCTTGCAAACCACATGTGACATTATCACAAAACAATGAGCAGCCCATAGAAAACAAATCTAAACCAGGTGAGTGATGGTCATGGGCAACGCCAGGTACTTTTGATAGTATGCATTTAATCGTATATTTAGTCTCAATATCATATTTGCTTTCTGTTTACCAAATTACCAATACAATTTGGCAAAATTCAAATATGCAAATTAAATTTGCATCTGCTACATATTTTACATTATTTGGATTTGGTTCATAGGAAACACTACAACTGCTGATGAATAAATTGCATAACCTTAAAACGCAGGTGTAATAGAGCTTTCACAGTTTTATTAGATTTGTTTTCTCTGATTGATCAATAGAATTTTTTGTTATGTTTATCCATCAAATACCTATTTGTTTACCAATAAATTTCTGTACTTGTTGATATGTACACACACCTTGTTTATATACATATCAACAAGGTTTGTGTACACAACTATTATCTCTAAATGTATCCTAGGATACAGCGAGGATCAAACACAACAGCTCCAAGCCCTGGGTACACTGAGAGTCCCCAGATGAAATCATTTAAATGCTGGAACAGTTCTCTATTCAACTCATTCTTGTCTAAACCTTTCAGAGTAGAACTAACCCTTGGACAATCTTAAATTTTTTTCAACAATTACTAGGACGAAGCAAATATTTTACATTTATGATTACAAAAAAAGATTCTAAATTTGTTTCCGATTAAAAAAATGGGTCAGTGCAAGCATTTAAAAATCATCAATCACTAAGGGAGGTCGATTTATAATTTTTTCGAAACATGTCGATATGTCTAAAGTTGCGCCTCCAACCACTGGATATTGCTCCTTTGATGGTTTTTTGAAATTTTGAAAATTGTTTGATCTAGGACCAAAAACTAGATTTTTGAGGACGTTGGCAAATTTCAACTAAAAAGTCAGTTTTTTTGCCTACTACTTGATTAATTTTTTACAGATTTTTGTGATTTTAACATTTTTGAATTTAAATTTTTCAATTCAAGATGGATTGTCTGGTACCGATATCGACATATTTTGAAAAAAAAACAAATTTTGTTAAAGAAGAAATAAAATATGTACTGCAGCTCATACCTGTATTTTTTCGAAGTATGGTTCAGATTGCTTTATACTTATTTTAACTTTCATACCTTTTATACATAACATTGTCTCCTAAGAGATGAGTAGTATCACCAAATTCTTTTTTTGGATTTCCAAAATGTGGTCTGCCGTTTTTGTACCTTAAGAATTGACTAAAATATTTAAAAATTTGTCTAGATTTTAATACATTAAAAACAACTGTTGTTGTTTAATTATTTTGTATCTACAACAGTTTTAAAATAAAATGAAGGAGGTTTTTACTTGTTTAAAAGAATATTTTTCTTTACTCCTTTAACTACTATTAACTTTAAAAAAATCAAAGACAACCCTTTTAATGACAGGTTTCAATTATAAATAAGTGTCCTGCTCAGATGATACCTTCATAAATACAGAATTGATTTTAACCCCATTCTGGTTGGGAGAGGGGAGGGAGGTGGTCCCTGGGGCGTGCATACTGCCTGAATGACTTGTTTAACCTATAACAGACTAAATCTATATTTTGACTTACTTCCAATTATTGGATTTCAACATTTTATCATTCCTTTTAAAGCCTTAAATAAAAAAGCAGATTGCACAATTCTTGCGAAGAAATTAACATCCTCCATTTTCTGTTTCCAGATAAAAGTTTTCTTGATGGGGGTTAACTCCACTGACACAAACCTTCATTCCCCCGGAGAACCAATTCCCCATCTTGCAAACTTTTATGTGTTCTTCTACATGTTTGTTCTGATGCTCATTTCCAACATGGCAACCAGTATACTACGAAAATACAGGAGATCACTTCCATTGCTTCGCATTAACCAGGTTCTACTTCTCAATGGATATCTGGTTGAGATCTTCAACACATGTTTCACCTACATGGTAATATGTCAAGAATTAAGAAATAGATTCTAACCACCAATTCAAATTTTCCCACATATTTATTTTGCAACCTGATGGTGTAAATCTATTATATTATAATCCTTAACTTTTTGAAACATCATCTAGCTGCAAAGATAAAGGGATTAAAAAATCAGAGTAATTGTGACAATATCTTTTAATCAAATCTGAGTTGTCTGCTTTAACTAAGTAAATATGACCCTAACCCAGCTTTCAAATACCCCCTTGAAACTGACTAATTGTTTGTCATTGTTTAAGTGTAAGTTTAAGTTGATTTGTGTTCGTGACCTTTATCATGCTGTTATAACTTCAATGGGTAATTGGTAATTTGCTGACAGTTATATTTGAGCACACACACAGGATCACTGAAATTAGTCTTAATGTTAAAATATTTTAGTTTTCGAGAGGCTAAAAAAGTCATGCCGCGCCACCAAGGGGACAAATAAATATATATTTCTTCAAGTGCTTTGTGACAATGTGGTGCTCTGGTGTAAGCTACCTGCCCTATTGGATGGGGGTAATCTCCTCATCTGTCGTATACTTCCTCATGAACGTATCGCTCCTGATCTCGATGTCAATCTCACTTGTCAGAACTCTTTTGGTGGTCAAGGTAGTGACAACCCATAACTTCCAGGGGCTCTATTTCAAAATGACTTATGACCCCCCCCCCTTCCCAAACTGAATGATTGGGGTGAGGCTACATAATATGGTTCTAAATATCTTAATGATGTGCGTTCTTAGGATTTGATACTATTAGCTGAACCCATCAATGATTAAAGTTCACTTGACAATTTCTGTTCCCCCAACACAAAAGATCTACCTTTAAGCCCCTCCCCCCTGCGGGCCTGCCCCGCCCCCCCCCCCACCAACTATTTAATAATAAATAAAAGGGAATTTCTTGATACACATCATTAACACACATGGGGTCGTTTATTACATCTGCCCAGGTATGGTTCTTTTAATATTCCTTGATGCAGGCAAAGCAAGGTGAAGGGTAACCAGGAATCTGAGTTGGCCATACCACACTTTATGTAATGTATGTTATGAAAAGTTTCTTGTAGTTTAACATGATGATACAGCTGGATCCAGAATTGTGGGCAAAACGGATTCTGTTCTTCATCCTGGCTTTTCTTGCCATTGTGGTTGGGGTACAAGCATTTCAATGCTACTCAGTTGGTAAATATGTATTGTCGGCATTAAAAAACAAGAGACTAAATTTAAATGTATAATTGCGTATGTCTGAAAAGATGATAGAGAAAAAAACAAATCCTTCTCTTTACTACAATCAAAAGAAAAGTCCAAATATTGGGAATTTTTTCATCAATGTCAAAAGTTGGACTCTAATGGTTAAAGAAACAAAAATGGAGATGGTCCACTTTATACAATGAGAATTAATCAGCCAGAGTATAAAAAATCCTGAATATAAGTATTGGTAAACTGAGATCGGTGTTCCAAATCCTTATAGTTTAATCCCAAACCCCAGTATGTATTTATCATGCATATGTCTCAAATTTAAAGTGTTTGTTGTAGAAAAGTAATTAAGGTGCAGGTTACTTACATTTTCAAAGGTTATGTATCTCCTCAAGAGTCCTTCTACACTGGGCTGGAAGTATCTGACCAAATGAACCCACACATAATTACCATTCTTGGGATTGGATCAGTGGCCTTTCTCACAACAGTGGGTTCCTACACTTTCAACTGGTACTATCTGAAGACCTATCACAACACTAGGAATTCCATCCTTAGAACGTTAATATTGTATTAAGATTCAAACAGGCCATGTCATAATACAAAGTAATTTGTTAAAGGGACTGTAAAGGAAAAATGAAAGTGGGTATAGGATGAAACCTGAGAATCTCAGGAGTGTAAAGAAACATATAAGACTTCTATCTGATGTTCCTGTCCTGAGAAATTGATATAAAACGGTGTCAAATTTATAGGAAAATTAATACATACGCAATTTTGTTTATAACTTGTAGGTTTAAACAGATCATATTCAGCAAATACAAAACCAATCTAAAGACAAATATACCCCATAGGAGCAGTACTAGGTTTAAACAGATCATATTCAGCAAATACAAAACCAATCTGAAATAGACTATATCCTACAGAAACCTGGGAATTTCAGGTTTGCTCCTGTTAAAATTATCTAATTTTTATTTTGCATTTTTAATATATATAATTGATAATGTTACTACATTTAATCTTTATAGTCCATATTACGTCACCATAACTTCAGCAAATGGCAGTGCAGTATACTGGTCATGTGATTTCCGTCTGTATCATGTGACAGCAATACTGCGCTGTCATTGGTTGAAGTTCTGGTGACGTAATACGGACTATATGGATTATATTTAATAATATTATCAATTATATCAATTCAAAGTGCAAAATCAAAATCAAAAAAATTATAACAGGAGAAAACCTGTGATTCTAATAGTTTTCAGATTGGTTTTGTATTTGTTGAATATGATCTGTTTAATACTATAACTTTTATACAAAATTCATGCATATATATGAATTTTTGTATAAATTTGACACAGTTTTATATCAATTTCTCGACACAGGAACATCAGATAGAAGTTTTATATGTATCATGCAATGTCTGAGATTCTCAGGTTTCATTAGATACCCGGCCCCTTTACTTTATCCTTTACAGTCCCTTTAAATATGTATAATTCTTAACACAAATTATTGAACTTTAACCATATTTAGCTAAATCATGGAAAAACTACTAGAATTGTGGAGGCTGAGCAACTTAACTCTGTGAAGAACATGATCAGTAACAAGTCTCTCACCGCTACAGCATTCTTTTCACTCCTAGCTGTAGTACTTGTTACTTCCATGAGGTCACATGATCAAAGGAGAATTCCATTGAACATCTTGGGTCCGGGATCTTTTTTCTTAATTTACTTAATTTACTTTGTACAGAAATCTCACATCAAAGCGTTTATATGGCGCATATACAGCCAAAGAGTTAATGAATTAAAAGCTAAGTTTTTTATTTTCAAATATTTCCGATCTAGTGCAGTTGCATCTGGTCAAGTGGTACTACACTAAGATGTACTGCAACGTTTAGATCTTTTGATTCATAAAATAAGGAAATAGATCATAAAGGATTAAAATAAGTATTGCCCTCTAAACTAAAAAGATACAGTTAAAAGAATAAATCTTTCTGATACTTGACTGTGTATCATCTAGAGGGTTTTTAATTTGAATTCCGTTGCGTGCAACCGTTCTCCTATTTTTGGGAGTTGTTGGGAATTGCGCAGAATTGTGTGGAAATAACAGGACCCGCAATTGCATGTGAATAATATCTAATTGATAATTATCTAAGGCGTTAGATTTATTTGAAAATTGATTTAAAAATGTTCTTCTGTTAATTTCTAAAAAATTTAATGGGTAAATAGATTTTAAAAGTGCTGTATTAAGGAATTAAGTACAGGAAATGTTGAACTTTGTGTATATTTTTGTAAACAAATAAGTAGAAGTCTTTAAACATGTAAACTGTACAGTTTAAATAATTCTAATAGAAATGATGTTTCGTAACTATAGGTAAATAAAAGATATAAATTTTGAAATTTTTCTGAGCTTGGTTGAGATAGAGAAGGGCATGTTTGATAGATCTTTCAGTTTGTGCCTTCATTATTCATCAATCGTACATTTTGTTCCCTTTTTTCAGTTTTCTCTAATTTAATTTATGGTTCCCTATTTGAAATGGCGTCAAACCTTATAGAAATCCAACGTAAAGAAACTGCTACGTATAGCAACATGGCGTATTTTCCGGGAGAACATTTTTTATATTTTTGAGAAATTAAATAATTAGTGGAAAGTAGATTTAGTTTTCATAAAATCCTTTTATTTAAATGGTGAAACGGAATTTTATGAAATCATATTAGCATTACTGGAGAACTTTTTTTTCTATAAATAAAACTGTAGATAGCATTTTTATAAAATATCTTTTTTAATAGTAACACACAATATTATGTATAACCATATAATTATTCATTTATGTTGTCAGTACATAATAAAATCTGGGGGACCTTAAACACAATAGAGAGCAGTACAAATGTACGTATTAAACTATTTTGCTCCTTTAATGTCTAGGGTATGTTAAAAAATAGAAATTATGATAATGATAATGATAAGCTACAATGTTTTACAAAAAGGTTTAATTTCTCAAAAAATATAAAAAATGTTCTCCCGGAAAATACGCCATGTTGATATACGTAGCAGTTTCTATACGTTGGATTTCTATAAGGTTTGACTTCGTTTCACACAACCCAACCATTTGATCCTTCGGTAAACAAGCCTATATTTTTTTATAAGTCAATACATTTGAAGGTTATATTGCCAAAGGTGAGAGTGCTTGGCCAAAAAAACAGAGTACCAACCTGATTAGGTTAAAAGAATATTATTTAAATGTTGCCCTACCGATGCCATTTTTTGTTGTTGTGTACCAAAAGATAAACTTATATTTGGACACACAAGTTATTAAGCTAATGATTATATTTTGCTTTATTTTGAATTTTATGCATTAGGGTTACAATATATATTTACAAGAAACAAGGTATGTTTCTCTACCACAAAAGTGAATGTAAATTCAAATAGAAGCCACCTAAAGTCTGACCGAATGCAGCCCAGGCGAAACAATCCATACCAGGAATGCAAAGGTTGGCCCAGCTCGGATATTAAAATGTACATTGGTTGTTTTTGAGGTTAGTACTGTGAAGCCGACCCGAAACGTTACAAAATATGACAATCTCAAGGTTGATTTGGCAGAGAAAGACACAAGTTTAGAGCTAAAATGATAAAAGTCAAGACCAAGGAGATATCGAATAGAAGGAGGGGGCGATAGGGTTTCCGTACACTTTGCTGTGACGTTTTGGGGCAGGATAACCTTGAATTTGATTGAAAATGTCTCTGTAATAAGGTCCTTTTCGTATAAAACTAAAGTTCTTAACTTTTTCAATCTTTTTTTAGCAAGATACTACTACTTTCACAGTTTACTAACTCATGTTTGTTTACATTAGATCAGCTGCCTTTATTATTGTTGTTACGCAAAAACTAGTTCTTCAGCAGTCCAAAAAAGTCACAGCAAAGTGTACGGGAACCCTATGGCCCCCCCTTCTATTCAATATCTCCTTGGTCAAAACTATGTTTTTTCCTCAACTATATCCAAAAGGTAATTATGCTTATTAATCATTACAGTTATATTTCTTGTTTTAAAATATAAGTTATAACCAGAGATAAGAGAGTACAATGATCTATTAAAGGCAAGAAAATGCAATATTTTCCACTGAGTCCGAAATTTAAAAGAGTATCGTTGAACGAAACTTCCGAGTTTCATTTTTGGGGTCTTAACATTTGTGTAGATTTTGATTTAAGAGATTCGAAAAAAATGGAGAATATAAATCAAGTGAAAAAAATAATATTTTATTACAAAAATATTGATATTCATAAAACTGCCTAACCCCATTTGTGAAACCCGGGTTTTAAAACTGGTTTTCATAACGATACCCTGTCTTAAGTTATGGGCTCTGCAGGTTCCATTGTGTACAACTGGAGTACACATCCAATAAACATACGTCTGTACACTTTAAAAAATGCAATTTTGGTCTTTAGCATCAGGCATCAAAGTTATTCTTTCATATTTCAAATTTCTTCTTTCATTACTCAAATTTTGTTGAATATTTTCCAAAATTACAATCTAACAAAACTTGTTAATAGTTCTCTCAGTCATGTGTCAAACTTTGTTATATGACCTCTTTCTTTTGTCATTTAACAGTTTTCTTTCATTGTAATAAGTCGATATTTTAGTTTATGTAAGATTAAACAAATTTTGATTAATGATACTCCCTTTCAGGCTGAAAGGGACTGAACAAATTCATACAGAGAGATTCTTTTAATTCCTCTCTATATATTCTATTCTCTATGGCTTTTGATTGAACAGTCTGTGGTTCTCACTTTTCTCTTTGTTTTATCAGAGCCCGCGATTTAAAAACTTCGGCTCAAGACGTAATTACTTAAACCCGACATTAAGACCCAATCTCGACCCAACTCTGACGACAGCTTGTGTCACTTGATTAACAGCTGCAAGATCTTCGGCTCAAAATAAATCGACCTTGGTTGGTTTTAGTAAAGTATAAGGATCAATGTTGAGTCTTGTTCTCAGAAAAACTTGTAATGCGCCAATTCCTTCCATGAAAATCCGAAATATAGAATACTAAACTGGTTTTTGAACTTAAATCAGTGGAAAATAAGATGCGGCTTAAATCCGAAAGCACAAGCCGTAAATAAGGCTCAAAGACAACTTAGACCCGAGCCGTATTTTCCCGAGTTTTTTAAATTGCGGGCTTAGTTAATGTTGGAAAATGAATGTCTATGAAATAAAAGGTTTCAATATTTGTGATTTTTATTTATTTTTCAAATAGAGTAAATTGTGTGTAATGGTTACATTTTAGGCTATTTATTGGATATTTTTACTAAAAGTCCAATATTTAAACTAAAATATTGTGGAACAATGAATCCTTGATGTACTATATTCAACTAGTTTTAAAAGCTTTTCTTCCAAATTTGTTTTATTTTAAACCTTAAAGTTAAATAGATGATAAAATACTAAAATACAAAAAATACTTAACATATTAAAATCATAGATAAAGATAGATTGCGCATAAGACGATATTTTTCATCTTGAAAGATATAAATGTACAGAGATGTTTTAAAGATATTCATATTATATAGATTAACTAGGTCGGTTGTGAACATTAGCTGTTCATATGTTATTGAGTACTTGTGGTGTACATGAGTTCTGTAGAGAGAAATTTAAGTTAGTTTAGTCCTTCTCATGTCCTTTTTCAGTTCTCGTCAATATGATATATTGCTCAGTGAAATATTGTTGTTCAAATAGTTCCATTCCCCGAGTTATTACACACTATATTATGAAATCCATTAAAACACCAAACCACCCCGCTTATCATTGAAGTACACTTTGAACCCTAGAATTATGAGTTCGCGGACTGTTCAGTTCTTGGTCATTTTGCGTACATTATAAGCTATCTATGTTTATTTATTTATCTATGATTAAAATAGAATGGTATTACTTCAAAGGGCATTTTTACTCACTCTAGTTATCATATGAATATTCTTGTATTATGATATTCAAAGAGACCTTTTTTGGAAAATATATGAAATGTTTCCTTGATTTTTGTAAAAAGAGAAGTAAAACCTTGAAGAGTAATACAAGACTTTTCTTTTCTTTTAACACATTTTGTTGTCTTAAAACCCGACCAATAATCAAGGCAAATAAAAGAAAATTCCAATATTCCTTATGTACATTGTACATGTATTTGACTGAACATTTTAACAGTTTTAATTTCTATTTAAACAATTTCCTTTTTTTATTGAAAATAGAAAAAATTCTGAATTGTCAATTATGCTATATATTTCTATCTATACTATACTATTTGATTTTTTAGAGAAGTACATCATAAAAATTTCAAAACATTTCATTTTAAACCTCCTCTTCTTTTCTGTTATATTCAGATTCAAAAATTATTTTTAGAAATATCAAAATCTGAAGTTGAAAAAAGGTTTTAAACTGCTTTTAAAAGATCTCAAAACTTTACATCATTCCAAATATTAAATTTTTGGAGAAAATTGACTGTATTATGTTTCCCATGCATAATTATCTCAATCAAAAAAATTATACTTTTAATACAAATTCATACCAAGTATTTGGAAGAAATTTGCTCCTTTTATCTTTGCAATCTATGTAGAAAACTTTAAAAACCAACTTTATTTTCAGTGACAAAAACAAAATTTAGTTTGAACCCAAAGATAAACAAATACCAAATCATTGTATTTTTATCAATCAATAAGAAAATGTACGTTTTAACCCAAACAGATTCTAAAGGTCTGTTTGAGTACCCGGGGTACTCAAGGGTTCCCTCAAAAATGTCAGCCAAATTGGTAAAGCCGTTTTGACAGCTACAGCAATATGTATATCTTTTTCGAGTAATTTCAAAGGATTATTGGGACTTAAAAACGCTAATTCCTGTTTGTTGATATTTAATAATATATATTTTTTATTTTTTTTCAAATTAATATTTCGCTTACAATGCGTGTTTACGACTGGTGCTGGATTTTTTAACATTCCTGGAAAATATGAAAATGTCGTCCTCATTATCAAAAATCCTCGAAACAGGAATAAAGTACTCTCTGATCATAAAAAATAAAAAAAGTATTATGAAATATCAACTTTTTAGTATTTACCAATGCTTCGAAAAAAAATTGATGATTATAGGTTGTAATATATGAATTATTTGTTTTTAAATAAAAACAT